AGACAGTGTCATTATTTTATTAGTCATATCTTTGATTTATATGAAATTATATTTACAATCTATTCAAAGAAATTCAAAAAACTCCTGTCCAGTCTACTATGGGCAGAGCACTGTCATTTCACTCTTTCATGTCGTTTTCCCTCTAACTGCATGCAGGAGCTAGGTAGGGCTCACACAAGTGAGAGGATTCCAAGAGTCAAGGCTGGATCAGAACCATCTGCCCCACCCCCTTAGCCTTAGCAGTGATGCTGAGAGTCACCATCTCCATGGTAACAGCATGAGCTTGCAGGCCAAAGCAAGGGTAGCTGGCTAGAAAGAAGTGGAAGGACACGAGAACAGGCAGGCAACCAGCTGGAAGAAGGATGCTGTAGAAGAAAAGTAGGTGCCTTCCTAAGTGCCCAGAATTATGAGGATCCTGGTGGTAGTTCTCATTCTTGGAGCATGATGGGTGTGTGTCATAGTAAGTGTGCTATGCATATAGGTGCCTGTCATCTTGTTTCTGTAAGCCATAAAGATCACGATACCTGTGAGGGAGACCATATTATCAGCCCACTTTACAGATGAAGACATGGAGGAGTAAAGAAGATGGGTGGTTTTCCCAAGGTCACAGGGTTTCTATACATGAGCCAGGATTAGGAAAAGACTGAAAATCAACCACTAAAATGGCTTTTTCTTAGGACACCGGAATAGCAGTTTCTGGCATACTAAGTCCCCAGCCTCCACTCTGGGGAAGAAATGCTTGGGAAATGTGGAAACCTGGGATCCCAACAATTAACTTATTCAGAGTTCTGATTCTTGGTTCTGTCTGAACTAAGTTCATCTGGGAAGCTTTTTCTGAGAGATACTGAGAGACCACAACACAGCACAATTATGCTAGAACCTCAGTGGAGACAGGTATTGGTCTTCTTTGCAATGCTCTCCTGGTGATTTCGTAGACAGCCAACCTTGAAAGAGAACCACAATCTAAAGCATCAGCACAGGTTGGTACGTGGCATCAAACAAACAAAAACTCTCAATTACGTAGTCCTTACCTGCTTGATTTAGCAAGTTGGAAAAGGTGCGAGAATGTATTGAATGCCTATAATTGTGCCAGGTTCTGAATGTAGATTTGCTCTCATAATATGCTCTCATTTGGTACCTCTGATGACCACTGGGGATTTGTGAGTGCCGGAGGGGACTGCAGTGCAACAACTGGTCTTTCGTCTCTCATTCTTCTAGTCCTAGGCAGTGGATGGCCCAGAGCTTGGACTACAAAGGCAGAAATATCATAGTCTGCAGAAAGGGCACAAAGAGGTAGAATGGTAGGCATGGGATGGCTCATAGTAGGTAATAGATGAAGCACAGGCTGAAGACACAGGCTAGAGGGGAGGCTGAGGGCCAGCTTAGACGTGGAGGACCCTGAGTGCTAAGCATCATTTTATGAAGATCCAAAGTTATGTGAAACTCAGGTGGAGGCAATCCATCCTATAGTTTCAGTAGGAGAGTCTAAGGCTTCCTTTAAGGACTGCAGCTCATTATGGCTTTTAGGGCTCCATATCACCTGGGCCCAGGTTATCTCCATCCACAATTCTTGCTTTCCTCCTTTCTCTTTGAGCCAGTGGCATTGACTTCTTTCCAGTTCTCTAAATACCACCGGATCTTTGCACACATGGTTCTGGCTGCCTAGAATAGGTTCTCTATTACTCTTAAGGTATTAGATTAAAACCTGTGTCTCCTGCTAGAACTTAAACTTGGGCTATGTCCCTAGAATTTAAGCTTGGGCTATATCCTTCTTTGTTCAGCATTATAACCCCAGCATCTAACATGATGTGGCTCTCAGTAAATATTTGTTGAAGAGAGGAAGAAAGAAATCCAGAACTACCATCAACATTTATATGCTTTCCCCTGCTCCCATCCCTCCCCAGCTGAGATTGTCTTCTTTGATCCTGTCCAGGGGTCAGAACGAGAATCCTCATTCTGCCATTTAAAGCAACAAGTACCCAGCAGACCTTGTCATCTGAGTAATTTGCCTCCAATGAATGTCAGTCGATGATGGCAATGAAAATAATCTTAATGTCTGTCCTTCATAGTTTGCTTTTTTTTTTTGGAGAGATTTTTGCTACAGGGCGTGTGCGCTTGCCAGACAGACAGAGAGAGACATAGAGACAGAAAGCGAGAAATCACCCCTCAGAGGGGATGGTCACACCATGATCCCTTCTCCTCCATTCTCCTCTCGGGATCTTGGGCACGCATGCACACGCACCAGGTGTGAGTTTTAAGCCACTGGGTCTGGGACGCGAACCACGGTCGACTACGTGGGAGTCCAGCGACATAGCCATTATGCTAACTGCTGGTTCCCCATAGTTTGCTTTTAAAAACTGAAACTAGACATTCACGGCTAATCTTGGCTTTTGAAAAGCTTACTTCTTCTGAAATGAGCATGTGAGGAAGTGAGCATCTGAGAATTCCAGACTCTCGTGAGTCCACTAACACTAACCTAAAAGCCAAGGAAGGCTCTGGAGCCCTCACTCAGAGTGACCTCCAAGCAGCACCATGATGTGTGCTTCAGGGTTGGGCAGGGATGTGGGGGCAGGACTGGGCAGGGGTCTTATGACACTATATTCAGGTTGTGATAGGGTTGCAGAAGGGATATATTCTACATGGAGTATGGTCTTTATGAGAATCAATGGACGAAAGGCAAATGGACTAGCTTTCAAATTTTGGTTCATCATTTATAAACTCTTTGTGTCAACCTCTCTGGGCCTCAATTACCTTATGTAAAACTGTAGGAAAAGGACTGCCTCATAACTGAATGATTAGAGAAGGCCAGATCCAACATAACTGACCATAATTCAAACCAGCTTGTAAAGCACCCTGGGCACATGTGCACACGTGGGGATGTGCTGAAGATCTTAACAGGATGGAGGAATAGAGAAGAAAGGATTGTGGCATGACCATACCCCATTGGGGATGCTTTCTCTCTCTCTGATGAGCATATATACCTTCTGACAATTAAAAAAAAAGGGGGGGGATGATGAAAACAGCATATTTATGGTCATTGTGAAGGTTAACTAAGACAATGTATATAAAATGTTTATCACTGGGTGTTGCATATGGAAAGCACTCAATCTACATTAGCCATTATTATTATCAACTAATATCATAAGCAACATCTTCCCAGAATAGAAAGATAAGCTAATTCATCAGCTATTTATATGACTTTAAATGCTCTTTCTAGGATCTATATAGATGTCACCAGAAGACATATACAAGAAAGTTCCTAGTAGCAATATTTTAAGAGCCACAAGCTGGAAGTAGCCCCGGCACCCCTCCACAGTAGAACAGATAAATAAACTCTAGAGAGCCATGTAATGGAGTACTCTATAAAGATTTCAACAAGTGTAGTGATTTGGATACTGTGGGATGATTAACGCTTACCATACACTGATTAGGATAAACTACTTTGACTTGCAGCCATGTAGGTGAACCTCATAAAATATAATGTGGGATGAAAGACGACCATCAGGAAGGAGTATGTACTGTATGGTTCTGTTTCGACACAGTGCAAATACAGATGACACTAATCTATGGTGTTAAAAGTCAGTGCAGCCTTGGGGGAACAAGACGAGATTTAGAACGGGAGGGAACAGATAGTATCTTGTGTTGTGGTCTGGGTGCTGTGCATAATTTTTAAAATTCATCATGTACATCCTGATTTATGCACTTTGTGTGTCTATGCTATGCTTCAACGAAGGGTTTACTAAATAAACAAACATGTTCAGCAGAGAAGTAAATGTAAACAATACAGATTGTGCATCCCCACAAGGAGCCTATCTATCGAGAGCAGAAGGCAGACAGGACCATGCCTGTCCAGACATGGGTTGTGGTCATCAGTAATGGAAGTGTGTAGCAGGTACAGAAGCAACACAGAGCGAGCCTGGGCAGCAACCATAGCCACTGCTGGTGACAATGCGCAGTGTTCCGTGTGCTTCACCCAGAGGGCTGTTCCCCCGATTCCTCCCCATACTTGCCTCGTCTATCCAGCTGCAAGAGCTTCATTCTCATCCATCCACTCCCACCTCACCACCACTACTGCCTTCTCTCAGCCAGGCATCATGGTATATACCCCACTTACTGGTTCTCTTGGCCTTGCTTCCTGCCCTTCTCCAAACCACTCTCCATCACCCAGACCTACTGAACTGTAATTGTTAACTGAGGTCTCCGGGTTGTTTAAAAACTCCCGTGTGCTTCTGATGTACCCCAACCCTTAGGAAGCTCTGCTCTCCTTTAGGACCAGGGCACTTACCTGATCTTGACACACACACTCCACACTAAAAGCAGTCCAAGGCCATGAGAAAACCCCTTAACTTACTGGCTCTCCTCAGTATGTCTCTCAAAAACATTTTCAGCTTCGTTTTCAGTCTCTTTCTCCATCCACAACAACTCTGCCCCATTTCAAATTTGCTTCTGGTCCAAGTGCACCAAATTCGTTTTTCTCTGAATCCATCTCATTATGTAATAGCTGCACCCCAAGTCCATGCCTTTGAATAACTGAGAATACCTTTCACCCACTTAAAGGCCTTTGAATCTCTGGCCCATCTTTAAGGCTCAGCTCAAATATCTCTGTGACCCAGACCTCAGTGTTCTTGGGCTCTCTGTGGTTTTGCTGTAGCACCTCATATATTCCAGGGTTTGATCACTTTCTTCAAATGCACCTGTCTTGACTGTTCACACCAACCCCTATGCCCAAGGGCAGGACTCTATCCTGTCCATCTTTGTATTTCATGCTTAGCACCTGCCTAGAACATGGGAGATGATCATGGATGTCTTGACTGAGTGCAGTCCATCATCCCAAGGCCTACTTAGGCACAAGGGGCTTGCTGTGGGATAAAGGACAATGATGGTCGACTCTGGGGTCCACTTTCTGGGCTGCAGAACATTGATGTGACCCGTAACAGGTCAGAGATATCTCAAGCTGCCCAACTTACTCATGTTCTTTCTGTTGTTTTTGTCTTTTCCAGTGACCTTCAGTGACTGTAAGGGAAACAATGAGCTACGCTATGAGGTATCAAGTCCATACTTCAAGGTGAACAGCGATGGCAGCTTAGTCGCCCTGAGAAACGTCACTGCGGTGGGCAGGACTCTATTTGTCCACGCACGGACTCCCCATGCAGAAGACATGGCAGAACTGGTGATCGTCGGGGGCAAAGATATTCAGGGCTCCTTGCAGGTAACACAGTCCTTTCTGATACTTTAGGCCAAGGAGGAGCATTACGTTCCTTCTGTCTTGTGTGGAAGATGTATCTTTCATTTATGTCGGCCAAGGATTTTTTTTTGTTATTGTTACTATCACAAATGGCAGAAATTCAACTCAAGAGAAAGAGGTGGGGAGGGATGATGGAACTTTATTGGTTTATGGAACTGATCCGGTTCAGCGATAGCTCTGCCTTCAGGCATGGCAATGTACTGGTGCCCAAATGGTGGTGCCTGCTTTGATCGCTGTCCATCTTGTTCTGTTTTCCCTGCATTGGCTTCACTCTGAGTTCTTCATATCTCTCCTCACCTCCCAGTGTAGAGGTCTCAGTAGCTCCACTGATTTCACAGTCTGAAGTCTCCTGAGAGAGCATGTCTTCTTGGTGATGCCAACAAAGGCTTAAAATTCAATCTCTCGTTCGATTGTGTGCCATCCCTGAACTATGTCTGTGGAGTTTTGATGCTCTGGTTGGCCAAGTCTGGGTCACATGCCTGATCCTGAAACCAGGGTGGACTTAGCTCCATCTACCTAAAAACACAGACTGAGAGTAAGGGAAGGCTCCTCACTCAAAGTAAGTTACGGTGCTGTTATCAGAGGACTAAGGATGGGTGCCGAGCAGGTGGGAGCCCCAGTGGTCCACCAGAGTGCATAGAGTTGTCACGGCTAGACAAGCACTGCGTGCAGAGCCACTCCTTTGCCGTACCCTGGTGTCCATCCCTTTCCAGGTGCACATGTATGTCGATCCCTTCACTTACACACATGTGCGCACACTCTGTGAATGTCATAAACTCCCATTCAGGCTTCTTGGTTGTATATTTGGAGACCTTTTACTGCAACTGAATTATTCATACCTCCTTTATCAAGAACTGCCAGCTGAAGGCAGGAAGGACTCACAGCAAGCTCTAGCAACGTAATGGCTGTAACGCTGGTGTGGCCCCAGCTCAGGGGGATAGCATTTTTTCCCTATCTGCTGGCCTGGTCTTCAGTTTTTCAAAGCCTGTTATTCTCATCACCTTTCTCTCTCTGCCACATACCGCATAGCCCTGCTCTGTCTGCTTATTCTGCTCAGTGGTGGAGTGGGCGTGTTAGAGAGCTGGGGAACAGGATGGTATGACGGGGTGTGAATGTCGCCTTCCTGCCAGTGCTTTCTGCGTGATCACGAGAGAATTGTGGGACTTCCCTCTCAGCAAACTAGAGGGGCTAACAGCCTGGGATGACACATTGGTGACGCGCGTGCTGCCCCTATTTTGTCACCATGCTCGTAGCAGATCCTGAGGCTCAGCCGGCAGGGCCCGTGTGTCTTTCCCAGTGCGGTGCTTCTGGAACCTATCAGTTGATCATTTAGAGGTATTTCCAAGGATGGAATCTATTTGCCATTCCTGGATCCAACACACTCCTTAATTCCTCTTCCTGTCTGTGAAGCTGTGAGTTTAGGGTACATCGCAACCTAAAAACGCATCCACAGCATGCTACTGATGACTTCAAAGAAAATAGGATATTGCGGAATTCGTTCCAGTGTGGAGACCCATGGACAACACAAAGGCGAGCTTCCCTCTCACTTCGCCTCAGTCATTTTCACAGCAGCTCACTAACTCATGATATAAATGACTTGGCAAGGCTCTAAAGCAACACAATTTCTGGGCTGTGCAGCGGGAAATGCTTCTCAGGAGCACACACGTGGTGTGAAGATTCACGAAAGGGGGCTTGCCTATGGGATTGAATGTATTCAGGTGACATTTTTCATCATGATGAGTGGTTCACCTTTCTATCCAGAAAAGACAGTTTCATAGTATTTTGCTCAGAAGAGAATAAGAAGGATTCTCAGGACAAACTCCAGGCCAAGGGGCTGGGACACTGGGGATGCATTACGAAGGGTCTCAGCCATGAAGTGTTGGGCTCTCAAGTCCCCCCGAGATGTCTCCCAGAGGCAGAGCTCCTCCGAGCCCTGATTCTCACTTGCCACTGCCCAAATGCATTGTCGACAAAACGTGGCTGCAGTTGTCTGCACAGCAGAGGCTGCCATGCCGTTCGTCTGCCAGGCTCCAGCAGAACAGGGCATTCATCGCCTGCCTCCAGTAATTTTATGAGGTTTGAAAATAGGCTTTGTGAAGATGCCCAGATGTGTCCATAATAAAGAAGCCCCCCCAAAAAAAGGGGAAAAAAAGGGAAAATAAAATAGAGAGTAAAAGAATCCCTCTGAAGAGAGCACAGACCTTAAGTTGCTTGGTTAGTGTTAAGTCCCTACTGTGTGGGCGAGTGAGCCAGATGTCAGAGAGGAAAACTGAAGAGACTGGTCAGCTCAGATCCTGGTTAGGGAAGCAAAATGAACATCCTGGTCTACAATTAACTACCAGGCCAAACGGTGCTGTGGTTAAGGCGGTGGGATCCCATATGGCCTATTGCACAGTTGGAGTTCCAGACCTAGCATGCCAGGCAGCTGTGTGTGCATGTACAAAATCCTAAAAGGAGGGAGACCTGGAGAAGAGATTGCAGTGTGACCATACTCCATGGGGGTGCTTTCTTGCTTGCTGTCTCTGTCTCCCTCCCACCACCACCATGAACGCATGGTCCTCTGGCAAAACTTAAACAGCAACAAAAAAATTGCTGTGCTTTGTCTACGGAGACAGAGGAGGTCAAATAACTGCCAACACTTAGGTAGTACTGACTATGCACCATTAATCTCTCCAGCAACTCTGAGGCAGGTGCTACTGTCGTTGTAATAGTGGAGAAACTGAAGCACAAAGAGGCAAGCAACTTGCCCCATGAACATATAAAAAATAAGGAATTAGATGGAAGTAGGATTTGAGCCCAGGCAGTCAAGCCCCTGGGCCCATGCTTCTAACCACTCATCATGCTGCTGCCACGTTCCCTGAAGGGGTCCGACTGAGCTCACTGTTCAAGGCTGGATCAAACTGGGTGGTTAAGAAAGCATGAGAAGGACTGTCTCTCAGGAGAGAGCCTGATTACCTCCAAGTTGTATTCTTCGCTGTGTGACCTCGGGCAACTTGCTTTCCCTCCTGACTCTGGTTAGTTTGATCTGTCATCTGTAAAACAGGGCTGACGATCGGTTTCCCAGTGTGTTGCGGCAGCAGCAGCCTTTAGCTGATGCTAAGGTAACGACCACCCACGGAGGCTTACGGTTATCTCCTTGATCTCATGGTGAGGAGTCTGAGACCCAGTGAGTCTGTCCCTGACCATGGGCCACAGCTGGTGGGTAGCTGAGTCAGGGCTCACCAAGGTTACCGCCTGCTCACCCTGTTCTGAGGAGGCAAGCAGGGCCCTGGACCCAGAGTGGCAGAGGGCATTGGAAGCAGCTCAAGGCATTGGGCTCCCTGTCTTCCCGCGGCTGCCTGTCGGTTCTGGCCCTGGGCGTCTGGTTCCCACTTTGCGTGGTCGCCCTCACCTTGCATCCCGTTTCTGCCCAGCCCTTAGCAGCAGTGACGCTGTTGTGCCATGTGGGTGCAGTTCAGTTCTCTTCTGCCCCCACCCAGAAGTTCTGCCATCCCTGGACGTAATTGCCTGTACCTCAGGGCAAGCCTGCACACTCCATGCTCCCCGCCCACGCCACGGCCTCTCCTTCCAGGGCCCGCTTTTGGTAGGCAGCAGAGCTGGGGCTCAAACCCCGGCCTTGTGGCTCTAGAGTCCCTCCTCATGGCTCATTTGCTTCTGGGCTCACGCCCGGGAAGAACCAGCGTGCACAAGGGTTAACTCCTCCGAAGGGCACGTAGGGTGGGGAGCGCATCTCAAAACCTAAAGGAGGAAGCGTTTCAGACTCACCTGACAGGCGACAGGGAGCCATTGGAGATTCCCGAGCGGGGAACAGGGATGATGGAAGTAAACTTTGGGGAAATTCATGTCGGGGCCTTGTCTGAGTCAGCAGAGACTAGAGATAATAGTTAGAATGATGGCTACTGGGTCCAGCAGGTGGTTAAGGCACTGAACTCCCACGTGGCCAACTGTGGTTTGAGTCCTGGACTTTGGTGGCTTGAAAATCCCACCAGGCATGTGCTTATGTGCCCAAAGTCCTGAGCGGGGAAGGGATTGTGGAGCGGTCATCACTGGGGGGTGATTCATTCTCACTCTCTTCTCTCTCCAGTGAGCACACGCACCCTATGGCAAAAACCTTAAAATAAATAAATAAATAAAAGATGCCACTATTTTTTACAAACCTATTTCATGGGACTTTCTGAAGTGTGTGGCACCAATATATGCCTTAATATAAACGATTTCTAATTCTCGTAGCCTCTCTTTGGAGTTGCTGATGTTCCCCTCCCAACAGGTGTGAAAACTCAGCCAAGATCCCCTAATTTGAAATTGATAGAAACGAGAGTGAAATTTCAGCCTTTATGTCCAAACACCCATTCTCCTCCCTGCTTCTTTGCTCACCGGGAGGCTGTGCCACACGGCAGCTGTTGCGGTTGCTGTTGCTGGCGGGTGAAGAGATGCTGGCGTGAGTTAGAGCCACACAGCAGTGGTGGAGGAAAGCAAGATGTGGAAGGGAGAGCCAAGATCCGGTGACTGGGTGATCGCCAGTTGTCTAGCCTGGGAGGTGGAGATGAATTGGACCAGTCAGGAAAGGGATGGCTGGGAAAGAACTAGCCAGGCCTGAGTGTGTTGAGTTGGTAGCTGCTGAGGACACCTTGCTAGAGGTGTCCCGGAGTCAATACACAATATGGGGTTGACTCTCAGGGCGTAGATTTGGGGGAAGGACAGGACAGTGGTAGGAGTGTAGGCTTTGGTGTCAAACATGCATGGGTTCACATTTCTGCTCACGACTTAATGATGGTGCAAACTTGGGCAAGTCAATCAACCCTCTGAGCCCCAGTGTCCTCTATGAAATAAGGACGAGAACAGAGTCTACCCCAGAGCTGTTTTACTGGTTGTGGCACCGGTCGTCAAGTGACAGGTCCCCTCAATGGTAATATTTTGGAACCTCTAGAGGAAAGATAAGGACCTGGAAGCTAGATGTGTTCACAGAGGCCATGAGACAGAAGCCAGGAACTAGAAGCAGGAGGAGAAAGTATATTCAAAGGAAAAGAAGGGAAGGAATGGGTGCTCCGAGAAGTGGGTGGGACGTCCAGCATAAGCAGAGAGCGGAGTTCTGCAGTTGCTCATTTCCCACCCTACGTATGGGAAGGACAGTGTCTCTGAAGCAAATGGAATCAGAGTGAGGTACAGTGTAGCCCTGGTGACTGGAGCCTGGCTCCTCTTTAATGAAGACTGTGCTTTTCTTAGTTTTACCTGGTACTTGTGACCCTGCTTTGCCTGGGAAGCCCTACCCCAAATCTCTGAAGTCTACCTGCTAATGGTTTAATTATAGACTCTCAAGCTATTTCTACACTTTTAATAGGCTGCCCAGACCCAGTCCCTGCCTGGGCTACATAAGAGCACCTTAGGTGTGAGGAGGCAGGGGGCCAGTTTAGCCCCCAGTCTTTTGAGGGGCTCTGAGGGATTGTGATGGAGGGCGGTGAGGTCAACCTTCCATGCACAGAAAGGCTTCTCAACCCGTGGAAGGTTGGTGCACCTGACACAGAATGTGCTGGAAGGAACCGTGGCTTTCTCTAAGTCTGTTGTCTCTCACCGCCTGACAGGGGTGAGGGGAAGGCGCAGAGTTGGGGGTAGAGGGGGAGAAGAGCATTTACTTTGTACACAGGGTTTTAAAAGATTTACAATTTACGGAAAAGCTCCACGTTTCATTCCTTATGCAGAGATGTCTTTGCCTGCTGTGTAAATGGGGCTCATCAGCTTCATTTTCCAGCCTGACCAAAAAAAAAAAAAAAACACTGAATTTTTTTTCTTTCTCATTTAAGAAAGTGTAGCACAACTATAGACAAAGGCAAGGATTTCCGACATCATGAACCTGAGGAGACCAGCCGGGCATGATGGAGTAGCCTGGGGAGCTGGTGCAGGCTCAGTGTGACTTCTGGTTTGGGAACTAGCGGGCTGCGTCTCCTGGCTTCTGTGGAAACAGCGGGCCGAGCTCTGAGCAGCAGCAGAATCAGATCCTGTGACCTGAGCAGCCGCTTCTCCTGAGCAAAGCAGAAGCACGATGCAACAGAGGCTCCCACAGCCCCACTCCTTATGGAGCTGCGGGGGCCACAGGCTGGGCGGCTTCACTCCGGCCTCCCTGCTCCCAGACTGAGGTGTTTCTCCATCCCTGTTTAACGGCCCCTCCCTTCCTGATCAGCTCACCTGGCCCTTGGATAAATGCCAAAGTCTGCAAGTGTTAGAAAAGGTTTAGCCTAGGAACCAGCAGGTGGCAGAAAGTTTGTGTCACTGGACTCCCATGTAGTTGACAATGGTTTGAGTCCCAGACCTGGTGGCTTAAAACTCACGCCGGGCGCGTGTGCGTGCGTGCCCAAGATCCTGAGAGGAGAATGGAGGAGAAGGGATTGCGGCACGGCCATCCCCTCTGGGGGGTGATTTCTCTCTTTCTGTCTCTGTCTCTCCCTCTCTCTCCAGCTAGCACATGTGCCCAATAGCAGAAATCTCTCTTTAAAAAAAAAAAAAAAAGGAAAGGGAAGGAAAGGAAAGGAAAGGTCTAGCCTGGCTGGTCTCTGCATCCTTCCCTCGAGTCTGAGGCCTTCTCATTAAGTAGCCTCATTTTTCCAAAGAGCCTCCGTGTCCCTCTCCTACCCTCTTTCTAGGCCTTTTTCTTTTCTTCCGTGGCCTTTCTTCTTGATTTGTACCTATATTTACTCCTTCGGATAGGTGCTAAACGTCTGGCTCCTTGGTGAAACCCTCCACTCCCTGAGGGAAATAGGAATGCAGTCTGTCCTTCTCCCCTCCCAGCCGTGCTCCTGCCCCGTCCTCAGCACCCAGCACAAGACCTAGCACACAGTCAGTGCTTGGTGACGTCTCCTGAATACATGGATGCATGGAACCAGGGCCCTCTTACCCCACCCCCCACAGCAGCGCTGCCTCTCCCAGGGCCAAACCACCTGTGGCATCTCGAACTGGCCAGGCTTCCCCAGCCCCAACACTGACTGCTCCGTGGCCTGCAGAGGTCCTCTCTACGATGGCCTTGGTCATCACCCACTGTCCTGGCTAACACCAGTGATACTTAGGACTGGCCAAGGTTCCCCTTCCTCAGGGATGCCTCCCTGACCCCTACCCTGGCTGGTTCCGCACTCCTCTTAGCTCCTTTCAGAACCCTGCTGGCCCTCCCCTCAGCCCAGAACTTTGCTGTCTCCACGATTGTGCCCATCTCTGTCCTGAGCTCCTGAGCTCCTGAGCTCAGGGACCCTGCGAGGTGCCGAATCCTAGTGCGGCACGTAGCACGCTGCCCGTTTGCTCAGCTGGGAAATGGGCCGGCAATGGCTGCAACCTCCTAGCAGCTTCGTGAGTGCTCAGTGAGCGAGCGTAGCCAAAGCCCGGAGAGTGCGTGAAATGTCAACTCCGTCGTGATCGTAGCATCAGGGCAGGCCCTGTAGTAAATGTTCCGTGAGTGAGTGCAGCAAATCAGGATGGCCCAAGCCTTCATCCCTCCCCCAGATATCCAGACTCTGTCATTTCCACATGCTGCCTGCAATTCAGGATGGCCTATGACCCTCATCTTCAGGCACTGCTCTCTGCGAAGCCCGGAGGAAACACCCGTCCTTGTATCTCGCCAGCTAACTTCCTAGGAAGGGTTTTGTACCTGCGAATCCACTTAATAAACACCCCAAGCCCTGGCAGTATTTAAAAGTTAATTACGAACATCTTACATCTCTTCTCTGGAAGTCAATATGAGGTGTTTGCAGTGAAGGCAAGCTGGTCTCTTAATCGAGTCCTTAAATGTAAAAAGAAATTCCCTTCCTTTTTGTCATTTTCAGGATCACCTAAAGAATAAAACCTAGCAAGAAGTTATCACAGAAACTGAAAAGGCTAAATTTAAGGCTTGTTTATTCAAGTTGTTCATCATTGCTGTAAACATGCAATTTAAAAGATGTAATTTTGGCTCTCAATCCAGTTTTAAGAATCAGGATGGAAATAGTTCCAAAAATGGAAAATAAAAAGGAGCAATCAGAGGAAGGAACCACTTGGGAGAAGCAGTTGTCCTTGTTTTTAATTTTTAAAATAAATATATAAAATATGTCATCAGCTGCCCAGAAGCCAGCAGCAATACTGCTGGTAAAATGGATCTTGCCTGTTGGCAACTGGGAGTAAAACAGGAACTGTTCAAGATCTCTTCTCTTTCAACACAGTTGACTTCTGTAGCCTTAAAGTCTGTGGAGATTGGGACCAGCAGATAGTGTAATGGTCATGTCGCTAGACTCTCACATAGTCCACCGTGGTGTGAGTCCCAAATCCAGTGGATTAAAACTCACTCTGGGCACATGTAAGTGTGTGCCCAGGATCCCAAGAAGAGAGTGAAGGAGAAGGGATTGTGGCACGCCCAATCCCCCTTGAAGGGTGATTTCTCACTTTCTGTCTCTCTCTCTGTTTCTCCAGCAAGCACATGTGCTCTGTAGCATAAATATCTCTTAAGACAAATAAAAATATAACCTGTGGGGATTTCTCCCCTCCAGAAAGCAAGCAATGAGTTCTGAGGCTGACACCTCTGGGTGGCTCCTGATTAAATACCGAGACTCTCTGCCTGGGAAGATGTCCATCTCACAGTTCTCAAGACCCCACGCCCCACTTCCATGCCCGCTGCAAGCTCCAGGTCACTGTTTCTGGCCAGCCTGCTCTAAGTCAGGGTTCCAAAGCCCCTCCCCTTCTTAGACCTGAGTAGTTGGCTGGACCATCTCCCAGAACTCAGGGGAACATCTATAACACATTCATAGTTTAATACAAAGGATGTTGCAAAGGATACAGGTGATGAGATGCGCAAGGTGTGTGTGTCGGGGGTCAGGGCCTCCCATGTCCTCTCCGGGAACGCCCCCTTCAGGAACCTCCGGTGTTCAGCTCTGCAGGAGCTCTCTCAAACTGTCCTTGGGTCTTTATGGAGACTATTCCATAAGGCTTGAGAGGCTAATAGGCAGGGCAGCGTTCCTCCCTGCAGGATATGGGGCAGGTCCCCTCTGGGATGGGGTCTTAAACATGGAAAAGATGACCATTTCTAAGACTCCCACTTGGGCAGGTTTTCTTAGCCTGACTTGGGAAGAAGAGGAAGTCAGTGAAAGGAGGCCGGAAGTCAGAGGGATCTCACCATTAGCTGTTGGAAGCTGTTCCGAAATTGCTTCAGGAACCAAAGACAACAGGACAAGTACTTAGAAGCCAGGAAACAGGACAAAACAAACAAACAACAAAAAGAAAGAAAGAAAGAAAATATATAAAAAATGCATAAATACATACTTCCCAGAATCTCAGAATTCCATTAGTTAAGTACCCTGAGGAAACCTCAGGTCTGGAGCCTTTAAAGCACCTCCATTGCCACACGTACTCTTTCTCGGGGGTCATTGCTAAGCCATGTGGATGATGGTAAGGGGAACCTGGAGTCACCCACAAGTGGGATCTCATGGCTCCCGGACTGGTTCTCAGCTGCGTGCTAGCGAAAGCCACCTACGTCCTCCGTGACTCACGTCAGTGGATCTGTGCAGTGGTGTCTCCCCTCAGCCTTCATGGCCACCATGAGATACACGGAGCACAACGAATGCCAGCCTCCCTGTGCCTGGTGAGCGAGGAGTCCCAGCCACCGACTGGTTACTCTGGACTCAGGCGCCCTATGGCTGCTGTCGCTTCTGTACCTCCTTCCTGATCTCACACATTCTAGACAAGAACACTTCTGCACACTTGTTACCGAAATGAACTCCGATGTTTGGCAACTCCGTGCTGGCCACTTGGGTGCTCTCTGTTTTAGCCATTACGCCGTCTCCTCCGAGACACCTGCCACACCGCACACAAGGGACTCGATTTTATTTCTCTAGAGCATCTCTGAAAATGAGAGCAACCAGTTTATGGTAAAGTTAATGACCTTGTCTCAAGACCTTATCAACACAGACTGGGAGTGATGGATTCTGCTGAGCTGGTCAATTCTATCGATCTCGCTTACATGAAGTATGTGCAGCCGCCAGCCTGGTGGAGAACCAACCTGTGCGTTTACCGTGACTGGGAAGAGATGATGTGTTTAAGCTGGAGACACCTAACGTTGCCAATTTAACAAGTATGATGCCTTCGAAAGCCTGTGGCGCACCACGCTCCAGGGCAAAAGCGTCCCCAGTTACTATTAAGGAAAATTAGTATCCATTTAACTGTCACCCAAATTGGGGAAAATATACAGCTTGAAAATTAGTACATAGATCCAAGAATAGGGCCTCAGACAGGGTGTTAGGCTGTTTCATTTTGACACATGCCTGAATTGTTATGTTACAGCTCTTAGCTCCAGGATACTATTCAAATATAGATAAAAAAAGACTTCCTCCGATTCATTAATTTAAGTAGATAACAGATTGCTTTGTGGATCAGAATCTAAGAAAACAGTATTCTGAAGATTAATTTTAATTGAAATGCTTGAAGAAAAATAACCGATCCTGTGAAAGTCTAGATAACAAACTCCTTTTTCGGCTGGTGAGAACAGTAAATTTCATTTTGTATAGCAGGATGGGCAATAGAAATAAAATATGATTCTAAGTTGTGTCATTTTAAGCTTTCTGATAATCAGATTAAAAACAAGAAACAGCCAAAATACATTTTAATCGCATATTTTATTTAACCCCAAGTATGTATATGCGTATCATGTCTGTCTAATAAACTACCATTTCAACAGGTAATCAGGGATTTTTTTTTTTTTTGCCTTCTTCATTCTTCTTTCCTTACTTAGTCTTTGAAACCTAGTGTGTATTTTACATTTATAGGAAATGTTGTTTATCCCAGCCAGCTCTCTTTTCCGTTTGTTTTATTCACAAATGAGAGTGGTTGGGGGACACTCTCAAAGGGTCTCAGTGGGGTCATACCATGACCCTCCTTGCCTAGCCCTCCAGCTCTGCAGGATCCTGGCATGGACTATGTGCCCAAGGTTTTCAGGCCAACTCGGGGATCTGACCCACAGACTGCCAAGTGGCTTCCAGCACTGCGGATTAGTTGCCTACTGACTGCACCTCTACGCTGGGAGAAGATGACGCAGTCTTGACTATGCAGTCTTTAAGTGTCCAGCAACCACACGTGGCAAATGGCTCCCACAGAGGGGGCTGCTCTGGGGTCCTTCTACTAGAACATTCACATATTTGAAAGAAGGATGGAAAAGTTCACTTGCTGAGCGCCCACGGCGTTAGGGCACAGCGGAATACTGACACTCAGGGGTCTATTTCTCTGATCCTATAGCCAACCTGAGCTGGTGGTGAAGTTGTTCTTGTTTGACAGATGTGGAAGCAGCTAAGGCCCAGAGAGGTTAAGTAACTTGCCCACTGTCATCACCCATCAGTAAGTGGCAGCGCTGAGAGTCGAGTGGGGCCTGCCTTCCGCTTTTAGGGAGTCACTGCTGTTTGTGAATACTGACAGTAGGACTAGAGCTTTCTGTTCTCCAGGAGAGACCAAAATGATATAGGCACCTTATACATGGCTTAGGAAGGAAGATAAACCCAGAGGCGACAAGACTCCTGAAAAACTTCTGGGTAGGTGGACAAGCCTTGTGGTATCATGACACTTTTTAAGTACCCTCCCCATGAATAGAACTTCTGGCAAAAGAAACTCATGAAAACAGCATTGAGTTTATAAGTGTAAATGTCTCCTAGGCCAGGGACCTTATCTCATTCATCATCATCCCAAAGTCTAGGGAAAAAGCCTTGCATTTATATATAGAAATTATAATTTACAATTTTCTCTTCATATATGTTATCTAATTTAATCCTCATAATAACGCCTGGAGGCAGATGGTGTTATTCCTGTTCTGTGAGTCAGGAAACTGAGACTCAAAGAGGCAGGTCAAGTAACACCAGTATTTACATGCGTAGTCTCCCTAGCCCACCACACAGTCTCCCTAACCCACCACGCAGCCTCCCTAACCCACGTGCAGCCTCCCTTAACCCACTGTGCAGTCTCTCTAACCCATGCAGTCTCCCTAAGCCCACCATGCAGCCTCCCTAACCCACCTTGCAGCCTCCCTAAGCCACTGTGCAGTCTCCCTAAGTCCACCGTGCAGTCTCCTAAGCCCACGTGCGGTCTGCAGTCAGCTCCCAGTACCCACTCCAGGCAGTGCAAGTAAACGGGACATAGCATTGTCAGAGGCAGTCTCACCTAGGATCTGTGATGAAGTGATGAAGTGATAAAAATGCACATTTTCGAGGCTCTCTGATATGCTGTTGTCCTCCTATCTTTTATTATTTCCATAAATCAGATATTCGTGGACTCTAAATGTTAATGTAAGGATGATAACCTCTTTTTTAAGCGCCCCTCTTATCTGGCACTCCAAGTGATTCATATAGAGACACTCGGTCACTGCAGGCTTTGCCAGTCAGCATGGCTGCTCTTACTAGAAATGACATGACGTGGACATACTTAAAAGTGGCTAGAAATGAAAATTAATACCAAGCCAAGCAAGATTTCTTGAGGGAATTTTAGGTATGTGGACACGCCCTGTGTTGTCACAATTTAATACAACTTTCCCCATGAGTAGAACTTATAGGAAAAAAAATCTCATGGAAATGGAACAAGGTTTCCAAATGTCAATGTCTCTGCAGTCTCTCTGTAAGCGTCCGATCCTCATTTCGGAGGAGACAGTACTTTGCTGATTATAAGAGAACGTAGTCTCTCATGAATCAGCTCCATTTGGTTCTTTTGTCTCAATACTCAAAAACTAGATAGCAAAGCAAAAAGAGGATATACCTCTTTTCTCAGTCCTTCTCCACTCAGCACATGGGCCAGTCAAATGACAAGGTCTCACCCAAAATTTTAAGGCAGCAGCCCAATCATTTGTAGAAAAGTTAGCAAAGAAAAGCGTATGGCACAGGCCGACAGTCAGCATATCCCCCAGTCCGCCCTTGTTGGGTAGACTTGGGGCACCTGTGGCCGGGGCATGGTCCGCGAGGCATGGGCAGGAAACTGTTGATGCTATTTGACCCTGAACTCTATGGCTTGTTTATGCAAAACCAGATCTGATCTCGAGATAACACATGAGCAAACCAAAGCACTTTCAATGTGTCCCTGGGCCTAATCTTATTAAATTTGGTTGTGTCTCTTTTTCTGACTCTTGTTAGTGAAGTAGAATCCTTTTCCTAGTCCGGGCCATACCTCCTAGGGGTGCTACATTAAAAATAATGGCAGAATAAGAACAGACTCCATGGTATAGTGGTAATGTGCTGCTCGGATCCCCCGGAGTGACCCCTACATGGCCCAGTCGCCTGAAAACACACTGGGCACCTGCATGAATGCCCACAGGCCCAGAAGGAGTGGATGTAGAAGGGAATAGAAGCATGACCACACCCTGCAGTACGTGCTTCTCTCTCCCTCCCAACCCCCAGCACGTGCATGTGCTCTATCATGAGTAAAGAAAACGTTTCCTTAAAGTAGTGCACCTGGGCCAGCAGGTGGCATGGAGGTTAAGCCAGCCGCAGCTGGGCCCTCATGGACAGCTGTGCAGTTTGAGTCCCAGATGCAGCAGCTTGGCAAACGTGTCTGTTACACATGCATGTGTCCCCAAAATCCTGAGAAGAGAATGGAGGAAAAGGGATTGTGGCATGGTTGTCCCCTGGAGGTGACTTCTCACTTTTCCTCTGTCTCTGTCTCTATCTCTCTCTCTGGCAAGTACACACACTCTATTGCAAAACATAATAATAACAACAACAATAAAAAGTGTGTGCACATCCCGCTGGAGCTCCTAGCAGGGGTTGATGTCATTATTTGCTGAATTGCTTCCATCTTTATTAAATAAGTGAGATGTAGCAATAATCAAAAATCAAATATTATATGTGTGTGTTCTCATTAAAGTGCAAGACATGTGCTTTTTTCTAACAGAAAAGAAAAATTTAGTAAAATTCACTCTTCTTTATAATGCAAAGACCTATTCCCCCAAAACAAAACAAAAAACTGAGTAATGCTCCATATGCATTTGCAAAACTTTTTGCATCAGCAAACCCAAACATAGGCAGAGAAATGCGAATGCAGACAAAGGTGAACCTTATAGCGCTCAGCAACTCCTAGTCTCCAAAGACTGGAGGCATAGACTTTGGGAAGGCCTTTAAATATAGCAGGAACTTTTCTGAGGGACAGAGCAACTGTTAGGCTGCCAGGAAAGTCATAATGACACCACGACTTTCTCCACAACCGAATAGGTAGGTATGTGAGGGCTACTGAAGGCCACAGGGCTCGAAGAACACAAGACCATCTCCTAAGCAACAGTTCTGACCGGAGGTGGCCTTCAGCTGGACTGAGCTTAGCTCTGACGCCCCGGCCTCAGTCATTCCCTTCCAGCCTGTTACGTTCAGGAGACAGGGATCCTTCCAGCTGCTTTCGGTCTCTTCCCCCTTCAGAGCAGCGTGGACCCAAGGTCCAAGATGGATTTCCTCTCTCTGATGGCTACGCTGCTTCTTCTGAGTCCCAGCTATTTATGGGAATCAGACAATTCCTTCAACTTTCTTTTTTTTCTTTTAATTCTTTTATTTAACTTTATTTATTTATTTTAGTTTGACCAGAGAGGGACAGAATTAGAGGGAAAGTGAGAAAGCAAGCTGCGCTGTCCAGAACTCGAACCATAGTTGGCCACGTGGGAGTCCTGCGCCCTTCACCTCCACATCTATCTTTTAGCGCAGACCCTTTGAACAAAAAGTGGGTACTGTTAACCAGTCCCTTCACCATGTCACTTGGCCATCTGTTGACAGCAACTTTTTATAGCTTCTTTCCTTAATGACACAAAGGTGTGAAGGATGGTGGATTTCTAAGAAACCCGAGGGGTGGTGGCAGTCACCTAACTGGGCTTGTCCTGAAGACGTCCCTGCCCACTC